AATGAGTTTGACACCCCTGGTCCAGACACTGCTCTGTCCAGTCACTGGTCTTCCTCTGTCTCTTATTTGGACCTTTCCCCTTCCAAAAGAAACTTTCCAAAGACGTCTGTTTTCCCCTCATTTTGCTAATTTGTGGGTTCAATTTTGACCGAGATGTAACCCAAAGAATCCGGTCATTTTTCAAAATAAAAGATTTGACAAAATGACTCGGAGAATAAATACAATGGAAACAATTCATTATTACCTGGGCGTCCAGCAGATGATCCATGGACGGGGGTCAGGGACCACTGCTCTAAAGGAAAGACCATTAATCCATTTAATCCATTAAACCATTAGCTTTACTTGCAGGTCAGTGCTGCTCTTCCTCAGATGGAACCTGCTCCTCTTCCTCAGATGGAGACTCCTGCTCTTCCTCTTCCTCTGCTCTGTAAGTGTGCTTATTATGTGTTGGGGGGGGGGGGGGGCTCCCTGATTCTGAGTTTAAATGGTCCTGGTGTTGCAGGGGTGTGGGGACCAATCACCTGAGGAGCCAGCTGTGCTACAGCTGCCAGCTGACCATCAGAGACATGGTGAGTTCAGGGCCCCGTGGGTATCCAGAGCGATGCGGTTCTAGCTCTGGATCTGGACCTGGAACGGGTTCTCTGAGACTGTCTCTGCTCTCCCCCCCCAGTCCTCAGTGAGCTGCCTCCCCCAGTTCATCCTATCAGAGGCCCAGAGGAGGCAGAGGAGGTGAGGAACTCCTTCTGTTCTGTCCATGAGAAACTATTCCTGTATGTGTGTCTTTAACTCATTGACTGGCAGCCATTTTCAGAACAGAGTCCCATACTGCCAGAGTTTTTTCAGCATTTTGACTGATTTTTCAAGAGCCACAGAATAGTTTGTGCTATGACTATGTAAACACCGAACACACCAAAAGAAAGAGTAGACTCTCTTCTTTCATCAGGAAAAAAAATGTGTTTCTACCTTATTCCGTTCTTCCTGGACTTGCGTCTCACCGGCGACATGTTCTCTCATAGAACCGTTCCCTTTTTCTTATTTTCCTACAGTCTATGCTCATCTCCCATCAAAAGTGGCACTGCCCCCTAGAGGCTCAATTTGTTACTACATACTCTGTCTAGAAGCCGATATTTACGGACAAGCTTTAGCAGATCGTCCCCCAGACACTCTAGATAAAAACATAAAAGACCTCTATAGACGTCTTTGGCAGCCAATGAGTTAATGATTTCTGCCAGTACAACAAACCCAACTTATGAAAGTGTGACGATAGAAGGGAGTCTGATTAGGATCCAGATTCACACACCTCAGGCCAGTCTGCAGGAGCCCCTCCCCAGAAAGGTTTACAGCCACATTACCCACAATGCCTCTCTCCCACAGGGGGCGGTTAGTCGCTAAGCTTTGCCAAAATGGATCCAAATTCTTTCATTTCCTTAACGGAGCACTTTTCAGATAGTCTGAATTCATTGTCAGTGTCATTCTTAACTCATTGGCTGCCAAAGACGTCTATAGAGGTCCAGACGCAAGTCCAGGAAGAAACACATTTTTTTTCCTGATGAAAGAAGAGAGTCTACTCTTTCTTTTGGTGTGTTCGGTGTTTACATAGTCATAGCACAAACTATTCTGTGGCTCTAGAAAAATCAGTCAAAATGCTCCAAAAACTCTGGCAGTCAATGAGTTAATGTATAACTCATCAGTTTTACTCTTTTTTTTTACCCAGCACAGCTCTTGTTTGCTCTGGGACTGTGTTGGTCTGGAATAACTCTGGAGCTGTGCTATGTGTTGTAGGACTGTGATGAGGGAGGAGATCAGCGGGTTCCTGTTGGACGGTGCTGATGAAGAGGAGAGCAGCCCGGAGACGAAAGATCTGATCCAAGTGAAAGTGTAAACCCACGATGTTCCAATAAAGCTTTTCCCACCTCAGCATCCTCCATCTCCTCCCTGTGATCAGGTCCGGTTCACTGTTAGAATGTACATATGATTAAAGTTATAGATCGTTGCATTCTTTGTAAGTGGGCAAACCTGCAAAATCAGCAAGGGCTCAAATACTTATTGCCCCCACTGTATGTTGTGTACTGAATTACCGTTTGTGACGAGAGGTGAGAACAAATCACAGAAATAGATAAATACCGTTTTATTGATGGTTTGTTTGAGACAAAGGCCATTTTCCCAGATAGAAACAGCTTGTTGCTCTCCCCCGACCGATGCCACCTTTGGAAAGCCTGTATTAGTCTGTTATTTCTCAGGGCGGCCATCTTTGATTCAGAGTTGGGAATCTTTGGAGAATGTTTCCACTAAGTAGTTGTTGAGTTGTACAACAAATGTGTGTGTTTGTCCACATCACATTCAGCTGAAACATGTCTCTGTGCTAGAAAAGAATCAGGGGAGCAGCACAGGGTGGAAAACAGTGGGAAAATCACACAGAGCTCAGTTTTATTGAAGACACACGGCTGGCTGGTTAAGGTCTGCAGCAGATACACACAGATACACGCAAGTATTTACAGGATAACGGGATAGGTGAGCGACTCTAGATTTTGTTGATGCTAGCAGCTGGCAGCGTGGACTTGTCCAGGTCGTCAAAGTAGGGGTGCGTCATGGCCTCGCGCGCAGAGATCCGCTTTGGAGGGTTGTAGGTCAGCATTTTCTGCAGATGTGGAGAAGCTATTAGTGGAGTTATTGGGCTAACAACAGTGGAAACAATGGAGGTTTCAGCTAGTAATGCTAAATGCAACGGATGTGGAGCAGCTATTAGCGGAGTTATTGGGCTAACAACAGTGGAAACAATGGAGGTTTCAGCTAGTAATGCTAAATGCAACGGATGTGGAGCAGCAGTTAGTGGAGTTATTGGAATAAAAACAGTGGAAACAATGGAGGTTTCAGCTAGTAATGCTAAATGCAACGTATGTGGAGCAGCCGTTAGTGGAGTTATTGGGCTAACAACAGTGGTTTCAGCTAGTTATGTGATGCTAAATGCAACGGATGTGGAGCAGCAGTTAGTGGAGTTATTAGGTTTAAAACAGTGGAAACTATGGAGGTTTCAGCTAGCGATGTGATGCTAAATGCAACGGACCGAGGCTAACAAGCAGAGGAATCTTTTTAACTAGCATCATCTCA